ATCCAATAAAAAAGAGGAAACAGTTTAAACAGTGAGCGCCCTACAAATTTTCTAGCCGACGGAGCACAGTTGCGTGCAGCAGGTGGAAGCTTAGATTGGATAAGGAACGAGAAAGTGAAGAAGTTAAAATGAGAACCAAAAATGTATAGAGAGAAAGAGAAAGAGTGAGTGAAAGTGAGTAAAAGGATCAAGAGCGGGAGTCAGGAGTGGCAAAAAGAAGGGAGTGACAGAGAAGGTGTGAGGAAGTGATCAGAAGAATGGCAACATGAAAGAGGGTATGGCGAACAGAAGACAGACAGGGGGAGGGAAAGTTGTAGAGTAAACGAGAAATAGAAAGAACAAAGAAGAGAATATAAAAGATAGAGCTTAACCTGCTAAAGTTACATTCATGCTCAATGGCCAACTAGAATAGTAATACCGAAACTTCTATATCTGCTCTCTTGCTTGTTTTCTTCTTCTACTTCGTTATTCTTTATTATTCATTTTAAATATATACTTATTATTTTAATGGAAACAAAAACTATTTCAATTATTTTATCTTGGAAATTATTCTTTAATAAATCTATAATGACTAATATGCGATTTTCATCCAAAACTCTTCAAGTATTTCAGTAGAAAATTGTTATAGAAGAAAAAATTCTAAAAATAAAGTGTTATAGCTCACCCATATCGACAAAATTTCCTTTCATAAGTAAGAAAGTGTATATGCAATTTCATTGAGTTCAGATAATAGTTATAATCGAATGTCAATAATCTTCGAGTATTGAAGCTTAGCAACTAATATACTTTTCAATATTTCTAAGAGGCAAATTTAATTGAAAGCCATTAATTTTTTTTTTCTACAAGATTGATACAAGTGCAAATGATAATCAAATAATTTAATAAAAAATAATAGGCATTAAATTTTTAATAAGCCTTAACACTGAAAGCTATAACACAATTTAATCAAATGTAATAACATTAGAGATGATTGTCTAAAAATTATATAATTCTTTATTAAAGAACGGATTAATATCATAATTAAAAATTTAAAAATATTTAATGAAAAGTTTTGAAATAAGACAATAGATATGAACTTGTATTAATATAAATAATTTAAATAAAATATATTTTATACTATATAATGAAATTATTGAACATGTCCATATAAATAATTAAAAAAAACAGAAATATGCATTAATAAAGACTAATAATAAAGTAATATTTTTTAAAAGAAATAATATTAATAATTATAATCTATGAAATATATAAGAATCATAATATTGTGATATACTACATATTTCTTTGATATAATTTCCTATAATAAGATTCAATGAAACACTGAACGCGATTTTCTAGATTGTCCATTAAACATCTAATTTATTCAGTATCTTCACTATAGGATGTAAGTCTGATTAATCATGCGAGTTTCGGTAGTTTAGTTAATATCCGACAAGCCTCCTAAGCAATAAGATGATACCGTAGGATTTAAAGAAATCGATTAAAAGAGAAATGAGAAGTGAAAATGAGTTAGACTGTTTGAAGTTAGTTGAGTAGTCTGCATTAACCACGGTGACCGCTAAAGGTAATGGTCTTCTCGCTATCTTTCTCTTCTGTCTTTTACCATAGTGGAGTAATCGAAACTAAACCCCAGGATTTAACCAAAGCTTAACCCATGCTAAGTGTGCTAAACCGCCTTACCAACACTCAACTACATTGCAGATGCCAGCGAGCTACATAGATTACAATCTAGTTTAATTGAGTAAAACATGTTAATCGGTAGAAACACATAGCATACCAACGTTATCACACTATCAGTTTGTTCTTTATCGTTTTTATTAGATCATCAAGAAAAGTATATCAACTCGACTTTATTTGATAAACTACTTAGCTAATACCTTTTATAGTCTTCTGACGTTTGATCTTTTACTTATTCTTAATTCTTTTATGTCTCTACATGATTATCAACTTCAAAGATTGTGATTTTTTTTTCATAAAGGTAAAAAAATAAATCGTATTGAATATATTAAATATTTATTCTTATGCAACCAACTAATTTGATACTATAACAGTTCTAAATGGTTTTGTAGAGTTCAATTAATTATTTATTTTTTTAATTAAATATAAATACTAATTTTATTGATCACTCATATAATTTGATATTTTTATATGTTGAACATGCGATAACTCCTCTACATATCATACTCCATTATTTCTTTATTATATATTATACTTTATGCTTAACAGATACGATTAAAAATTTTAAGAAAAGCATGTTGTATTCTAAATATCAATATTTAAATATTATAAATTTCATGCAGATATAATAATTGAATAATTCCAATACTTTAAATAATTGAAATAGTTTTAAATATATTGGATCATTTTACGAAATGTAATATAAAATCAAAATATTTAAAAAGCATTGGATTTATAAAAATCTTTTTGCCTTAATTCACCTATTTAAATAATCTGCTTTTATTTAATAGATTTTTAATAATTTTTAATATTTTTTTAAATATTTTTAAGTAGAATTTCAAGTTTACTTGGAAAAAAATTTATTAACATATAATTAATTAATACTTGATAATTATACAGTAAATTATAATCAATAGTATTTATATATTATAATTTACTGCATTCTATAATGAACTATATATTTATTATAAAATGAAATTATACTCAAAATAATATAATAGAGACATACAAAAATCTCAAAAAACTAATCGGTGTTCACAATTAATAAACAATTAATAAAACATACAATTGTTTTATTATTACAAAAATTTAAGTGCAGTATAAATCACAAATAAATTTTCCTTAAATATATTACGAATCGTAAGAATAATAATATTTTTAATTTTTGTTGTTCAATAAGTATTACTTATTAATGCTTAAAAATATTAATATTATAATGTATTACTTTCAATTCAGCAATAATATTTACATAAAAAATTGTGATATAATTTATAAAATATTAAAATTTATTGTTAATTCAATTAAACATAGTTTAAAAAATATTTTTTATTTAAATTACAAATGTATAATTTTCAAATGTAAATTTATTATATGGAAGATTATATTTTATTTATATGAAGAATCTGAAAAATTTTAAATGATTATTAAAACCTTAAATAAAATGGAAGAATAATTTAGTAGACAAAATTTCACATTGAGAAAAAATTAAAAGTAGTTTATAATAACATCAAACAAAACCATGACAACGAAATTATTACTATAGAAAAAGAAACAAGGTAGAAGATTAACGAAAGTATTGGTTACCCAGTTGAATGCTTCACTTCAAAGAATGTCTTTCAAGATTTTGAGAATAAATGTTCAAAAGAGAGGTGCTTTAGTAGTCTAGGATCCAGAAAAACTTAATAAACTTTCACTACAAGATGATACTTATAACTAAACTTTACAAAAAATATAATTTCTTTTGAAGTATATCATTAATTCTATTAAATTATAACACTGAATATCAAAAAATTGATTTTATATTTATGTCAAAAAAAAATTCAAGTATAAATAAACTATAAGATTATCTTTGTCATTTAAATAAATATAATTTGCATATAAAATTTAAACTAATTTTCTTGTGTTTTTAAGTAACTTTTATATAATTACATAACGATGCTGACATTTATTAATTTAATCAAATATAACAGGTTTTATATCCCATAATTTACTATAAGATTGAAGATTTTAAAATTTAATATGTTCTTTCATATATATTGATATCTTTCCATAATCTTGCCACGATTACATAATTTATGATACTATCTAGTATTACCTAAATAATTATGAAAAAATGAATGCATATTTTGTTTATTTAATATTTTGTTCATTTTAAATAACCCATAATTTAGTATATTTATTTTAAATCAATTTATTTCTTTTTATGCATTAATAAATTTATTCTCAAATATTATTCTGAAAGCCTGAAAATTAACACTGATATATAGTAGAAAGACTAATAATTTTCTATTAAAATATATTCATATTTAATTTCCGAATATAATAATATTTTATAAAAGAAGGAAATAAATGAAACTTGTTGTATTTGTATTGTAAAAATTATTGTTTTAACCATTTCGCATGTGTTATCATATCCACTTGCAATTTATTCCTGTTTAACCTGTTTGCTTTTTATCCCTATGCACATGTGACATATGTTATCGTACATACATGAGCACAAACATAAATACACTAGCATCTGGACAGTTAGGCCTGTTATATCATATAATGCCTGTATATGACAAAATAAAGCAAATTCAAAAGTGATAGATGCTTAGACATATACCTGAGTGAATATGCATACAAATATATCTGTCATTGTCACCTAATCCAAAATCGAATTGTATACTTAGAGAAATGAGGGCGCCAATGGATTTTATGATCAATGTTGCCATTAGCTGCAGAGGGAAGATACCGATGAAATTCTTGTCTGATTTTCCGTTAATGTTTTAACTGTAACCAAGCTTGGCAGTCTAGGCTGATCATACCACGTTTATTCCACTTCAATATATAAAGAATATTCAACTCTATGCTACAGGAGAAATCCCTATAAGCCAAAAATTACTTTATTAAAATCTCCAGTATTGCATGAAAGCGTATTTAAAATGATGAAATTTTAGAGTTGATCCACCAAATTGCTAATTGGACAATCCCTTTCATAGAATTTATTTTTTATTTTATTTAGAAATTAGACAAAATTAATTAAAATTTATAGAATTCTTGACATATAATTTAGCTGAAAATTCATAATTACAATTTTGTTTGATTTTGATATATTGCTATAAGTATTATATATACTATGGCTAAGATATATTGCGAAATTTTAATTTGATTCAATTCTACATAAAAAATGGAATATATTCTTCATAATAGTGAAGAACTTTATTAATTATAATCTTGTATTTAACCTAGATAATTACTGTTTAGCATACAAGAAATAATTTCTTGACTTATAGACATTTCATTATATTTTTTACTTAAAATAATAATTTTTTTTATTTTAGGGAGTAATATTAACCCATAATACATCCGCCAGAATCATTTGGTCTAATCAGAGTCTGGTACTTCAGAGCGTAACCAGAAATAGTGCAGGCTTATATGTTTGTGCAGCTACCAATAATATCCAGGAAACTAAAAGTGAACCACTTGAATTCCGTGTAAAATGTAAGTACATATTAGTTCATTATCTAAGTAATTTACAAACTAAAAATGATTATTAAATATAAAATATTCTTATTACATAAATTAACTACTTATACTTATAATGAAATACATATGTCTTACGTATGACATTTTTATAGATTTATTTTTACAAAATTTAAATTATGATTTTAAAATATAATTATTTAAATAAATTAAATAAAAATTTATAAATAAGTATTCATTTCTTTTGTAAACATAAGTTAATTAAAAAAATAATATTTGACCATAAGCTATATCTTATTTGAAAGTTAAGTGATTGAATTGTGAGTATATAAATGTATAAATATTATTTGAATTAGAACTCCCTTAAATTATATGTAAAACTAATGAATAAATATATAAATTATTTACAGTAGATATAATGCATATTTTATTAAAAGAAAAAGAAATATATATATATATATATATATATATGCAATTCGATTTTAGTTTATTCTCCATTAAATTTTAAGAAATACCATTTATATTAACTTCATTTATTAATTTAAATTGAAAGAAACATTTCCCTTCTAGGCAAATTCTAAAAAAATTATATATATATACATATATATTCTCGAAATTGATAATATAGGTCTTCTGGATGTTTTTTTATATGTCATTAAACATGATAGGCATAAGTAAAAATATAATTTTACCCTATACAGAAATATAGTCTATAAACTATAGACTAGAATAGTCTGTACTATATGAATGTTCTACTTGCCAAATAAAAATAATCAATATATAAACATCCATTCATATTTTTGTTGATGTGGTCAAGTGAGTTTCAGATAATTTCTCTCTTATTCTGTTTCTTTCGTGGCCTTTCCATTTATACACCTTTCCAATCTCTTGTGCCTTCTTTTCTCAATACATTCTTCAGATAACACGGTTTTTGTCTCTCTTTGTTTTCCCTTTGTTTAACCTTTCTATATTTTTTTAATATAATGAAACCATGCGTGTAAAGGGTAGAGCAGCTAAATAGACTAATCAAAACATCGCAACATATGTAAATCTTTCAACTGTACTTAGTCTACTATAAATTTTTTATATCCAATTTCCATTTATGATATTCTTCGCCACTCTCTATCTTCGGATATCTCTTTCTATAGATCTCATTCTTTCATTCTCAGATTTTGTCCGCAAAATTAATTTTTAAAGAAGAATAGAAGCAAGAAACAAAGAATAAAAACGAAGGAGAGAAATAGCACAAAATTGATGAGATCCTCCTGTAAAAAAGCATGACTCCGGATGAAAAAACACATATTTGGCACTGTGATTTGATGGCTTCATGCTAAACTGAATTTCATTTTTCATAACATACAGTACAAGTATACCATAGCATATCTGACCATGCAGAAGTATTTACATATATCAAATCAATATTGAAAAATATCGTATTTTAACTGCTTTTATTTGTATATCATAAAAGAGCATAGCTGTATTAATAGCTTATATTTTAAGATTGAATATAAATATATTAAGTATATTAAATAAAAATGTATTAACCTTAATGAAATTATAAATTCTAAGATTAATATTAATTTCTTGTATTATTTTGTATGAAAATTGTATATATTTTTACAAAAATATATTTGGTCATACTTGAATAATATTTTATAATTCAATTTATTATTTTGTATTTTCTGACAAATTTTTTTTGACATTATACGGTACTTTATTTATATCTTGAAGTTAACTTAATTTATATTTGAATTATATTTCAATTATCAATTATATTTCTTATATTTTTATTTTCTCTAATGATACTGTGAAATAATATCAACATTATTTTTAAAATTGGAAAAAAGTTTTTTGTGTAAAATATTTTTTAATAAAATTAATAAAACTTAGAAGCTGAAGATTTATTTTCAGCATCAAAATAGTATAATTTATTAAACACAAATATACATGTCAAAATAAAAATATATAATAATTTGTAATAAAACGACGATTAAATCAATAAATATTTTTTGGTTTTGGGATTGACTATATTTATTTAGCAAAACAGATATTTATAAATGAAACCACTCTCATGACGGAAAAGTTAATTCGCATTTATATATACAAATCATATATTTTATAAATCTATTATTAATAAATCAATGAAAAATAAATATTATGTTACAGAGATATGAAAATAAGAAAAATAAGTCAACAAGAATTTAGACAAGAAGAAATATTTACAATAATACAGAAAATAGAATGAAGCCTCTAATAAGATAGAAAATTCCTTAATACAACTTTTTATATTAAGTATAATAATTATATAAGCAAATTTTTCAAATTTTACTTACAGATATTATTATTTTCATTTTCTGGAAATACTAATTAAAGTTAACTATAAAGTTAGCTAATTTTACAAAAAAAACTCTGTGTGATAGAGGCTTATGCTCTATTCAAAACAATAACACTAATAAATAAACATTTTTTCAATAATTTTTTATTTAATACATAAAAAATACAGCTTCGTTTTATTTTACTTATAAATTATTCACAAATAATCATTAAAAAATAATAACATGGCTAAATTAGCTTCTTAACAAAAATAATACTTCATTTTTCAATTACATTTATCAAATCATTGTACTAATAATATGGAAATTATTTTTAATAATAAAAAAATATACAAAAATAAAACGATAAAAATGTACCCGAGAAAATGACTTGATACTGAAATAAGTAGAAAAAAACCTAAAAGTATCCCCTTGATTTATACCACTTGTAAAGCCTGCTCGTATAATACCGCAGGATGAACTCTATACTGCAACACTTGTACAATGACAACGCATTACGATAATACTTCGTACGAATATGAAGACCTTTACCTTCGTCATGTGATTTTCTCTTGCTCTGCACATGTAATTCGCTTCATAAGCTTCTGCTACGTATAAAGAATACCCCAGTTTCTGTTTTTACATTCTTTCTTCACGCTAGTTCCCCATTCTCATTTTCGAAATCTCTGTTTCGTTCTTTTCTTGGTAGGCCCTTTGAACTTTGCATTGCTCTTGTAGAACGAGCGATTTTACTAGGGAGCATCGCCTATAAAATTTATCAACAGACTAAATACAGGAGCGTGCTCATAAAACTATCTGTATGTTCTATCAACTCATGTATTGTCACTAAGAAAGTGCCAATAGTGGAATTGGTCAAACATTTGCATACCTATAAATCATCCAGGCTTCTCGATGTTAAAGTAACAGCCACAGAATAATTTCCACTGATACAATAATTTCCGATTTAAGTCAACACTTCTACTAAAAATATACTGAAAAAATAAACATGTATATACTTATACATTTGGTTCACTTTAAGTAATTTAATTTTCATATTTTTGAAGAGAGAATTTTATATACATTTTTCTTTAAATTTATATAATTTTGAAATTATATACCATTTGAGTTAGGTTAATTGTGTTACTAATCTTATTACTTTTCAGTTTCATATTCATTAGGCTTCTATTTTTATTAAAAGAAAATCATGACTTCATACTTCCAGAAAATAAGCCGATTTTACAAGCGAATGAAATAAATATAAATTATCAAATTATATACAAAATAATTTTTCTAACTTTATATTCTTATTTATTGTAATTCATAACATTTAGTGTATCACTCAATATTCATAGCTATTTTTTCGCATTATATAAATTTTATTCGTTAATGTTCTGGGATACTCAAAATTTTTATATTTAAATTCAACTTGTACATTTATATGATTTTTCCAAGATTTTTTCATTATTATTACAAAAAGTTTTCGTATAGCACATAACATTAGAGATTGTGAAAATACAGTAAAAACACTAGAAAACAACTGTTATCAGATTAAAAAGCCTTCGTTTTCTCTGAATTTTAATACAACAACAGTATAATAGGATAATTTACAATGGATTTGTAAATGTAATTAAAGAAAAATAATTATAATATTGAATAGTATATAGTAAGCAATAAAGTTTAATACTATTTGGATGACACGATAAGCTACTTGCAAAATAAAATTAATGCAGTTCGATGCTCCTGGACCGAAAAGTTGTTATTATAATTTCTAAATTTACTTATAATTTTATAAGTATAACTTATAAATTATATTTATACTTATAACCTTCTCGCTTATTGTTGTCCATTATGCAAATTTCACATGCTTCTTGCTTCATATTTTGACTAGTCTTTCTATAATTTGTATCATCGGTTAAGTGTGTTGAGTACATCTTTTTCTTTTTCCCTATATATATATATATATATATATATATATATATATATATATATATTTCTATAATATGATTAAATTTCTTCAAAACTATTGATTATGTATATAATGTTAATTGATTCTTTATAAAACGCGTTGTGTAGTTAATTCAATTATATATATACACATTTCTTCGACTAATCCAGATAAAATAATAAATTTACGTATAAAAATTAAATAATGGTCATACTTACATTCGATTTTAAATAAATAACTCAACACTGAATAGTAAAATATATAAATATTTTTATTGTAAATTGAATGTATCTTAAATTCTTATTAAAAATGTAATAGAATTCCAACATAAAACATAAATGAATATATATATATGAATTACACAATCATAAACGAAAATAGTAGTCATGCTCCAACTATTATTTTCAGTAACTAAAAAACATCTACCATATATTTTAATCTCATTATAAATTACATATCAAAGTAGAAAAAGGGAAAAAAGAAAATATGAAATTCATTCTTGAAATATATCTGCTTGAGCTAATTCTGGACGCATACAAAAAGAAAAACACTACTCCTTAATTCTGTAAGATTTTTCGTGTAACCAAATATTTTAATAATGTACATAAATGACAACTATCATATTGCTAGAATCTTTAGTAAAAGTATAATTGTTATAATAGAAATAAATCGAACACTAACAACAGCAATAAATAAACAATCCCATAAAAGATTAATATAAAACATTAAAGAATATAAAGAATATAAAAGATATGGAAAACAAGAAAATAATAAAGAAAAAGAAAATTAAGAATAAAAAAAACGAATACTATATTATTAAATAATTTTTTTAACAATAGTAAGTTTTTAATATGCCTTCGAAATGGAAAGAATAATTTTTCATCGTTTATTTAATATATTTCTCAATACTAAATTTAATTCATTAGTGATTGAAATGTTTTTAAACTAATTTTTTATTTCGTTAAAAATAAATCAACTTCGCTGTTTACGTACTGATTTCTTTTTATTGCATAAAAAATCCATCTAGAAATAAATCAGACATAAAATGCATATGTTGAGATGTTAAGGTTAACGGTTACATTGCAGATGCACCAGTCTGCAAAGAGGACAGGATCGTCGTGGTGGGGGGCTCAAGGGGTGAATCCCTAGAGATAGCGTGTAAGGTGGAAGCTGACCCGCCTGCCCACAGTTTTCGATGGAAATTCAACAACAGCGGCGAGACTCTAGAGGTGCCCAACAAACGGTTCTCCGTCGAGCCAATCGACGGACTCAGCGTACTCACTTATGTGCCCAATACGGAATTAGATTATGGTACACTATCCTGCTGGGCTGATAACTTCGTCGGCAGTCAGTCAAGGCCATGTCTCTTTCAACTAGTCGCAGCCGGTGCGTAATTAAATTTTTTCTAATTATTCAACCGTATAAGCGAATAAATCAGCGATAAACTTAAAATACCTATTATAATTCATCGCTTTCATTGAATTTAATGCAGCATTGTCCATGAAAAAAATTGTTGGACTTCTTTGTATAAAGTAAAAGTTTTTCATATTTAGTAGTCACCGTATGTTCTAATTCAATCAGATCAAACATTTTGATCTACGAAAGAAATTGTTAATGGCATTTTTTCTAGATATGAAAAATAAGCAGCCCTTAGTACTTCTTAAATCTTAATATTTCTTTTATAGTTTCAAACAAAATATTTACCAATAATCTACCAATATAGATAAGGATTCTGTATTTATTACTATATAATTGCAGTTATTCATAATTATTGAGGAACAATGGATTACCTTTCAACTTTAATTAATACAATCCAATGCACTTTGTAATTAAAAATTTTATTTAATCCTGGAATATTTATAAAATCAATGATTCTGTTTATCGATCGCCACTTTATGAATTATTCATCGTTATTTAAAATTATAAGTCACCATTAAGATTTCGATAAGCTAATTATGCAATGATAATTGCATGAATTATGTATTTTTATGAGATAATTTTGTTTAATAAAGTGTAAAAAATTTGCATGATATTTTTTTAATAATCTGATCATTAACATGTATTAAATTTCGTCACTTTTTGTAAATGAAGTATTCTATAAGATTTTTAAATATGAATATCAGATTAAAAATTTTTTTATTTCTAATATATTTACATAGTACTTGAAGCTTACACTCGCCTCATCTATAATGTACATACATATAAAACATTTTCAGTTGAAATCTGTTTAATCGATTATGTGTATACACGCCATTCACAGTGAAGTAGTTAAGCAATTATGGTTCCTCTTATTGACTATGCATGTTTCATCAAACATCCATTTCACATACCTCGTATTTTGGTACTAAAACTTCAGATATGAAAATACTGAGTTGTTTTAATTTCTAATAGAATATATTAACAGAGTCATTAATATAATAATCTGCCATATAAATACATTGTTTTAATTAAATTTTTTATCCAAATTTATTATCTGAATTTAAATAAAACATAAATATTATTTTCTTACTATTTCACATTATAACACTGTAAAATACTATACATGAAATTAAATGAAATAAAAAATATAATAGAATCTGGAAAATTTATTATATAAAATTTATTAATCTTAAAAAATGTTATAGCTGATATATTATACTATTACTTTTACTATAAAATAAAATTAAAATATCTTCAATCTTAATAAAAAATAATTCTGAAATAGTATTAGCCTATTATTGAATAAATAATTCGATAAATAATATACGTGCTGTGAAAATACAAAACTTTAATAAAGCTTCTACGGCAATGGTATTTAAAAAATCCTATTTACGAGTATCTTACTAACAGAGGAGTATAAGCAACAAAACTAATAATCGCTGTCTTCGTTAAAGTAATTTAATATATGAAATACCTAGATGTTTCTTCTACATTGAACAGATTTATATATTTACAGAGATATAATTAAACATATATTTTCATAGTCACGTGTTTGTAAATAACTTCATTTTCGATCTACATTTTCTATCTCCATTTCTCTGTTACTATTTCTCTAATTTATTTATTTTTATTACTTTCATTCTCTTTTTATATACATTCTTTTTTTGTTTTTCTTACTCTTCCTCTATTTCTTTCTAGCATTTGATTACTCATTCTCCTAGCACTCATCGCCCTCGTCTTTGCCGCCTTCCAGATTATCATAATTCAAAAGGGATTTCAGTTCTCACCGACCACGGTTTGTGTTTACCTATACTACGTCTCTATCCCCACTCGTAGACTCAGTAAAAGTAGATCGAAATATTAGATAAGCAGATAAGCCCCAAAAAATAAATATAAGCACTGGCAAATAATT